GACTCATCACGTGGTTCTGTTGTTTGAATAAAGGGAAGTTGAAGTGGAGCCGGCGAACGCGTGCGTCTCCTCCTCGCAGCGAGCCGCCGTTTGTCGCCTCAAAAAGATGAAAGATTTGGACCCAAACGACGGGAGGAACAATCGCTCGCGCAGTAACCGGGGCAGTAGGAACCCGTCACAAGCCGTGAGCGCCGCTCCTCCCCAGGTCCCCTGAAGGCACCACGTGCAACAGAGGCCGGATCAGACAAAGCAGCTTAAAATGTTGATGTCAAATCTCGTTCTAATGTCACTGTTTCCTGTTTAAAAACCGCCCTCGGTGCTCGCCACTTCCTGTCACTATTGTTCTAGAACTACATTTTATTTTGTAGAGAAAATCAATCGCGTCCGAACTCCTTTGAGTTCAGAGGATTAAATGCAGACGTGAGATACGACATCAGTCACCCAATGTGCACGTCTCCACATATCGATATATGTATGCTGCTCCTCTCTGAGACCCTCTCGGGGGGGCTGCTCTCTGAGACCTTTTTTTCTCCCCCTAACTTTCTTTGTTGTCCTGTGGCTCTCTTTCTCTGTGGGGGGGCTTTTGTTGCGTGTTCGCGACTCGCCACAATAAGAGCGCACGCTGCGTGAGCAAACACAATCACCGGGAAACAAATGGACGGGAGGGAATGCGCCGAGGCGGCAGTGCAGGAGGGGCAGCATACAAAGAAGGGTGCCGGGGCCGCTGGGGGTTCTAGCTGTTGATGATGATGATGATGATGATGATGGTTGTCCCCCCCCCCTCTCTCAGGCCCGTGGGCCCCCGGTGGTGCTGTTGGGGGCGATGGACAGGATGAAGATAATCAAGCGGCGGCTGTCCATGTCTCTGCGCAGCGCTCGGCCCGTCGACGACTCGCTGTCGGAGCTCGCCGAGCAGATGGCGCTGGACGAGCCGGCGGCGGCGGCGGCGGCCCGGGACAACGGGGAGGCGCACGCAGGTAACACACAAGCGCCACCAGCACGCGCACACGCAGAAGAAGAGCCATGGCGTCATGTTCAGCAGCCCCACGTGCGTGTTAGTTATTAAAGGAACGACTGTCACGTGACCCACCAGTTAAAGGCCGTGTGTGAAAACACATCCAGCTGCTTATTTCACTACTCGGTAGACTATCGAAACACAACTGGTCATGAAACCTGTAACACACTCAACGCTTCATGTTGATCATTAGTAAAAACATGGAAACATATTTCTTCAAAGCCTGTTGACAGTATTTGTATTTTACTGTGTGATACAAAGATATATCATAAATTCCTCTGTAGTAAGTCGCCAAACCTCAACGTCATCTTCACCTCATCTTCGTCACCATCACTCTTTTTGTTCACTTTTCCATGCGAGACGAGTCAATAAAAGCATCACAGTATAAAAAGCACCGCCATTACGGCAGCCATCTGCTGGTCATCCTCCAGGCCCGCAGGGCCGCTTGGTGGGATGACCTCACCTGTGTGTGTGTGTGTGTGTGTGTGTGTGTGTGTGTGTGTGTGTGTGTGCATATACGCATGCACACACAGACTGGTTGTTATTGTTGTGCATCAGCCGATTAGCTGCGTCCTTACAGCCTTCCCTTCATCTCAAACAGTGAGCTGGAGTCTGTTCCAGAGGGCTCAGCGGGGAGAGGGGGGGTGGAGGAACTGATGTAGGGGATGATGAGAGGGGTGGTGGAGGAACTGATGTACGGGATGATGAGAGGGGTGGTGGAGGAAGTGATGTAGAGGATGAGGAGACGGGCATTAAACTTTAACCACTGCACTACATCTCCTACATGTTCCTTTGCTGCATCGCCCTCGCCGACCCCACCCTCTCTACTTATCAGTCACACTGTGCAGAAGAGACCCACATTCCTCACAGAGCTAATTAGGTGAAGCCGACCTCTCGGCTGCTTGGCGGACTTTTGTTACTGTAGGCGAGACTGAGGATTTTAGAAAAAAAATAACTCATATAACCACAAACTACTCTTTTTGACCACAAACTCCTGTAATTACCTGTGCAAAAGCTAATGAATCACTAGCATTCACATATCTGAGACTAATGCTAATCGCTAGCATTCACATAGCTGAGACTAATGCTAATCACTAGCATTCACATAGCTGAGACTAATGCTAATCACTAGCATTCACATATCTGAGACTAATGCTAATCGCTAGCATTCACATAGCTGAGACTAATGCTAATCACTAGCATTCACATAGCTGAGACTAATGCTAATCACTAGCATTCACATATCTGAGACGAATGCTAATCGCTAGCATTCACATATCTGAGACGAATGCTAATCGCTAGCATTCACATATCTGAGACGAATGCTAATCGCTAGCATTCACATATCTGAGACGAATGCTAATCGCTAGCATTCACATATCTGAGACGAATGCTAATCGCTAGCATTCACATATCTGAGACGAATGCTAATCGCTAGCATTCACATATCTGAGACTAATGCTAATCACTTCTCATATTTATATTGTGATAGTTTATAGAGTATTTTGTTGTTATAGACAGTTGTCACAGCACTTAAACTAATCCAAACCAAAGCACTAATACTCGGCGAGTTAATGATTAGTACTAGTGGTGAATATTAGCTAGTTTAGTAACCTTGCTATGGCCGTCATGTGGCGTATGTAGAAAATGTAACTTTGACTTAATCCTGCTGTTCATTTGCTGGTTTTCAACCTTCTCTCAGTGTAGCATAAGATCATGGTGGAATTAACAAGCTAACTTGCTAACTAGCCGGTCCCTAGATGAGTGAACTTAATGCTTCATCCACTCACTATTATCGCAGCGCAGTTAATCGCATAGCGATGTTTAATCATCCATTAGCACTGACTCACCAGATGTTCTTATGTTCTAATCCAGAGAAGTGAGAGCAACGGCTAATCTCAAGAGACAATCCAGCTTGACCTCGTGGGTTTAGTCCTGTTCTCTGAACCCTCGTGCTGGGCGAACACACTGGACTTTGCGGCGCCATCGGTTGTGTATTGGGGATTATTTCAAAATCGATGAGATATTTGGACTTCTGTCAGAGAGGCCCAGCGATACTAATGGATGAAAGAGACGTGATGATGTCACACGCAGGCAGGCAAGTTAACGTGAAAAAGTAAATGATCAGTTTACCAGTTAGCTTGAGATGGTCTCTTTTCCTTCCATCAGTCCTTCACGGCTTCCCTTCACCTCACCTGGCGTGTTTCCCACAATGCACCTGCTGGCTGTTCCCCTGCATGTCTCTTTCTTTTTTTAAACTCCTATGTTTTCCGCTTTTCCCGCCTCGTGCATCACATAATTTGCTCCTTTTGACAGCAGTGCAGCTTCCAATCACTTTTCATCTTCTCACACGTTGTGCTGTTCCTACTTGTCCGACCTTCACTGTGTCAGTGTGACCTGTGTCGACTTCTCTTCTCGTCTTCAGTTCGTCCCTCTCTGTCTTCTGTCTGTTTTCTGCGTTCGTGTCCCGCTCCTCACTTTCTCACTTTCTGGCTTTCTCTCCCACTTTTTTCTCGTCCCCCCTTCTCCTTCCTCCCCTCCGGCTGGGTCTACCTGCACCGTGCGTCTCTCAGAGCCCGCGGCGGTGTGCGCCGTGCACCCCCCCGCCTCGCACAGCGCGCCCTCCTTCCTGCGGCAGTACGCCAGTCACCTGGGGCGCACCGCCCTGCAAAGGGGGCCGGGCGGCGGGCTGGAGAGAGACCGGGCCTACCTGAGCCTGCATAGGACCGGATCTCTGGGTACACACACACACACACACATGCACAATAACAACACACGTCCACACCGTGGCGTTATAAGTACATCTACACAAATACTGGACTAGAATTTTTAGGTGTTTTTTATTGTACTTTGACAGGCAGATTGTTTATTGTGAATGTTACTTGAACCTTTATTTATATATATATAAATTAGTGCTTAAACCACTGCATGGACAATAATGTGTGAGAACAATCAAGTCTCCTCTCAGTCTCATGGGAAGCTTTCACTTCTTCTGTGTCAGTGGCTCAGCGATGAGAACTCTTGGATCCTTTTTGCATCCAGCATCAGCTGAGCGACATCCAGCCACAGAAATACCGCCAACTGTGGTTGCGCAACTCGCACGTGCACGTTACGGGTCTGAGAGACCGTGTTTGCCGACACGACTCGGCCCTCCTGCCCGCGTTTCCTGCGAATCTGGAGGGCTAAAACTCTAATGACCTTAATCCAACATTCAGCCCCACGCTGCCGTGCACGTGCTCCCAGCGCTGCTTCCCCTTATGTAACGCCGCGCCACGTCCGCTGCTGCTCGTTGTATCCGGCGCGGTGAGGATGGAGGTCGGAGATTGACAGGCAGGAGACTGAGCCAATAGAGGGAGACGTACTGATGAGAGGAGGGACGGTTACTCCTTCAGGAGGCCTATTAGCTATTAGCCCTCCGATAAACCACCACCGGACGCGTTGGACTCTGAGTGTGGTGTCAGGAGCTCACGCCTCACCAGGACACTTGATCCCCGGCAGGAGATCAGCAGCGGAGCTCTGGAGACAGTTTGAACGCTTTCGCTAATTTGATATTGAGAGGTTCAGTACTGCTACGATACCCGTGTCTTACATGGCTTTGATGATTCTAAGCATGTTTGTGGAAGTTCTCAGCCGTTGAATGACCCGGGGTGGCCACACTTCCAAGTCACGGCGATCGACCCTCCCCCTCCGACGGCTAAATGAAATCACACCAGACAATTCAAGGCAGCGCTCAGCGCTTCATACTCATGGAGGTTTTGGCAGTGTAATGTAGCCCATCTTTAAAGCTGGTGTCGGGGGTTAAAGGTTAAAGGGAGCTAAGCTAAGCTAACCATCATCTGGCAGTGGTTTATTGCTCTTTATGTGGCCTTCTGATGTAACGTGATGCGTTGGAATAAAAGCCTCCCTGCAAACACCATTCGGTGTGACAGACGCCGCCGATGCAGAGAAACGCTGCAATAGATGTTTCACAAAATAAGACGAAGTGTATTTTAAGAAGTTACACGGTGTGTTTGTCCTGCTGACTCACTGTGCGCCGCTCAGCAGTCGGAGCACGTCGCCCTCTTTACCGGAGCGGCGTGATGATGTAATCTCTCTCTCTCTCTCTCTCTCTCTCTCTCCTGCTGCACTGAGGAGCTCGCTCGCCCTCCTCCCTGTGACTCGCTCCATCCGAGTATTCCCGTTAAGTCCCCTTCTCATCCGTGTGCGGGGGCCTGCCTGCGGGGGTCACGTGTGTGTGCGTTGGAGCGCTTGTGTGACAAGAAGCCTCCACCTCTTTCGGACTGTCTTCTCCTCCGTCACAGATCCCCCCCCCACCCGTTCTGTTCCCCCGCATCAACGTGCCACATTTAACCTCAGCACGAGCTCTTCGGACCCCGCTAGCTGCTAACGGTCACCCACTAGGCGGTGGTGAGGACCACGCAGTGGGCGTGTGTGTTAGCCCTCGCTGCTACATTACCTGGAGGTATGAGGAGGCATGCTGCCAATGAATCCCGTTGATCTTCAAAGCTATGAGGTAGTAGAAGGGGGGGGGGGGGGTAATTGAATAATAGGATTCCTTAGAAGCAGATAAAAGGTTTAGAGGTAATTACTGCAGCGTATCCTCCCTCCTCTTCCTCCCTGCGTTCCTCGGGGAGCCTTGGTGCACTTTGAGCTTCCTCGTGTCTCTTCTGGCGGCAGACGGACGTGTTTGTGGACTGAACAGCAAACTGAAAACACAGCGCGGACGACACGGGCTCATTGGAGGCAGAAACGTGGCCCGGCGTGTGTGTGTGTGTGTGTGTGTGTGTGGGGGAGGACGAGCGTCTCTGTCGTGAGACGCCGACACAACGATGAGCCCTCCGCGGTGAAGTCGCTCCGTCCCTCGTCCGCTGGCTGAAGTGCAGCAGAGATCCAAAGGGAACGCTGAATACACCTCCACCACGCAGGTGGATCCGGACGGTTTTAAAGACGTGTTAAGTCAACAGTGATCCCGTTTATTTACTGAGGATCTAGTCGGCTTGTGAGTTTGTGTGAGTAGTCTTTTAGTTAAAGGCCCCTTTGTTGAACTGGAGGGTGTGGAAGCTCTTCTGAAGCCCAGTGTTTTGTCACTTAATGCAACGGGATTATTGACACGGACCAGAGGTGCGGTTTCATTTCTATATTTAAGGAACTACTTTCTTTTTCTACTTGATTACTTTACCTGGTGACACTTCAGACACATGCGTCCTGCTGCAAACACGTGTTTTTAATGTGGCTTCTTGTGACAGAATAATAACAATAGTGCAGCTAACATTAGCAGAGCACGCTAGCACCTTCTCACAGCATGAGCGCCGCTAAGCTACGCTAGCTCCTGGAGGTGTGCTGAATGCGTCCCACTGATGATGATCAGGTGACGTGGTTCCTTTTCTCCTTTTAAACACATTCTAGAAGCGTTCGTCTGCTCCTCAAATCGACCCTTCGTTTTTTCGGGGAGTCCAGTGGGCGGGTGCGTGGGCTCCGGGGTGAGGTAGTTCTGACAGCTGGGTGGAGCAGCACCAATCTAGTTTCAGACATGAGATCGATGTGGGAGGGAAGTTTGATCCGTACAAAGAAGACAAAGTGGAACACCGCCTCGTTGCTCTTGGAGGTCTCCATAAAGAATTGGGCAGGGGGGTGCGCGGCTGTGCCACAATGGTGAGAATAGAGGAGCGGGAAAGAGTCAGAAGAGAGAGAGAGAGACCGAGTCCAAGAAAGAGGATCGCTCTGTATTTTCACCATCTTTGCACCCCTGTGGAGGAGGGGAAGTCTGTATCACATGAGAGGAAGGAAAGTGGAGAGCAAGGTGAAGGGAGGGAGCACGAGAGGACTAACTGGGGAGGGGGGGAGAAGAGAGGGAGAGAGAGACTCGTGTCTCACCTGTTATTGCCATATGATCGTGTGTGTGTGTTGGACTCTGCAGCATTCTGCGCCTACCTGCTCGCCGTTTGACCTTCCTTAGTCAGCAGGCAGAGTGGGACTGCAGAGGGAGGGAGGGGGGGAGAGGGAGGGAGAGAGGGAGTGTCCACAGTGGTAAGTGGGCCACTTGCATTGTGGCCAGTTTAGCGGCTCGAGGACCTGATTCCTCGCCCGGCTCCGTGTGAAATGGCTCTGTCGGGCGTTCCCCGGGGGGGCTCTGCGCGTGCTGCCCCCGGTGGGGGGGCCCCGAGGACGGGGGAGGCTAGAGCGGGAGAGGGGATAAGAACTGGGGAGAGAGACCCCCCGCTGGGGCTGTCCCCTTTCCGCATGCTCCGGCCGCTGGACCCGTGCCGTCCTCCAGGGAACCGAATCGGTGAGTCCGCCGCGTAACCGCGGTTACCGCCGCTCTGAGAACTTCTCCGGTCAAAGTGTGGCTCAGTAGACCAGATCAGTTCTCCACTGCAGGCTCCATGTCCAGGGTTTTATTACAGACAGGGATCCATCAATGCCACATTGTCTCTTTGTGGTTTAAATTTTGCTTCAATTCAGCAAAATCGTAATGCCTCATTTGCATATTCAAACACATTCCATAACTCGCAACAGAATAAACGCTCGTCTTAATGTAGTGGTGACGTTTCATGTTGATTTCTACTCTTTCATCCTGTGACGCTCACCTGCATGTTGGTCATGTGACCAAACTTCTCTTTAATGATCCATAAATCACCAAACTTGACTTTTACTTGTATTTTCCTTCTGGATCCTGGAGGTTTGTTCACACCTCGTCCAGAGACAACATTCATTCATAACATTCATTCTTTATGGTTTTTGACGGCATTTGGGGATTTTAAAAATGTACAAAAACAAACAATTATTGTTGTAAGCAGATTTCGTACCGCTTTTATCTACAGCGTCTCCCCTCAAGTAGAATCCGCTCATTAATAATAATGTATTCACAACCACCTCGGGCCTCCTCCCTGCTCGACTCCCTTCCTACCTCAGCCTCCTCCCTGCTCGACTCCTCCCTACCTCAGCCTCCTCCCTGCTCGACTCCTCCCTACCTCAGCCTCCTCCCTGCTCGACTCCTCCCTACCTCAGCCTCCTCCCTGCTCGACTCCTCCCTGGATTCACTGTGTGCTCCTCGCTCTGTGGAGGTGGAGCAGAGGGAACCTGCAGGAGAAGAACGTTGGATAAGCCTTCATCTCCTCATCATACATTCTTCTGTTTTAGGATCAGAATGAATGTTTAAAGATGTTCCATCATTCGTTATTTGAATGCTTTGCTCTTGTTTCTCCACTGTGAAGCTCTTCTTTTGAACCTCTCCATGAATCATGTGCTTCCATCGGCGTGTTGTTTCCACTCAGGTGAAGGGCGTCCCGCATCTCGGGAGTGTTTACACAAACACACGCCCCCCCCCCCCCCCCCCCCCCAGAGTGAGGGCGACCTTATGAGCCGAGTGTGTGTGGAGATCCTGGATCTATTTCCCCGTCACTCCGGTCTCAGTTTCCCACAGTGTACGGTTTCACCGTGGGGGGGGGGGGGGGGGGGGGTTGATTCCTGATGGCTCCTCTTACCCCCCCCCGCGTCAATGCTAACGAGCGTATGCTGCTCCTGTCAGCAGGTAGTCAGGACAGCTGGGATCCCCACAGGCGCCCCCCTGCTGGCGAGCTGCGGATGCCGGGGAGGGGGGGGGGGGGGGGGGTCGATGAGCGGAAAGGTGAAATAAAAAGGGCAACAGGGGTATTTTGCCTGCTTGTGTGCAGGATCGAGCCAATTGGACCTTCTGCTGTGAGCAAACTGAACGTCCCTCGCAGGGTTTGTCCCCTCCGGGCCACTGTAGAAACGTCCTCCATGCCCCCCCCCCCCCCCCCCCCTGTCCATCTGTGCCTGTCTGCCTTTGGTGGTTGTTTGACATGCACACAGTAGATAAGGATCAGCTTCTTCCACCAAACACACGCACACGTATGTGCTGCATACACTGGACCCCACAGAGAGGCCCCTCCCCCCACCACCGTCTGCCCCCCCGTGACTCACTGATCACATGATGCCGTCTACACACACTCGGCTACTGACCCTTTAGTCCGTTTACAGTTTCTGGGCAACTTCTAGCAGTAATCACAGCATGTGGGTAGAAGGTCCTGCAGTGGGACCATGAAATGCAGAGTCAGCTGCTGGCGAGGAGCACGAGGTCAGCGGCGCCTGTGACCTGCTCTCGCTGCGGAGCCATCGGGGGCCCGTGGCTCGACGCTAGCGGCGTGGACGTGGTCGGGCCGCTGTCCTCCGTGGAGGCGCGGTGCAACAATCCCAAAGGCCTGAATAAAAACCTGTGAGTTAACCGTGTGTGTCCGTGTGTCTCAGGCATCGTGCACGAGAACGTGAAGATGGGATCAGACGGCGAGAGCGACCAGGCGTCCGGGACGTCCTCCGATGAGGTCCAGAGTCCAGTGAGGGTCCGAATGAGGAACAACCACCACCGCCGCATCTCCAACGAGGTAGATGGGGAAACGCCGTCGCTGTTTCTGCATCGAGGCGTCGGGACACACAGGCCGCTGTGTTGTGCTTAGCTCCGCCCCCTCCTCTGCTGTCAAAAAAAACGAGATGGCGACGGCCAAAATGCTGAACTTGATACATTCCATCACATGTCATTTAGCTGACGCTTTTATCCAAAGCGACTCACAATAAGTGAATTCAACCATAACGATACAAACTCATTTATTGTTTATTATATATTCTTTATTTGTCAGCTTTAGTCATTGTTGACTTCTGTTCATAACCAGATGATTGGCTTACAGGAAATGCCTCCTTGGGGGGGGGGGGGCTTGGGTGAGAGAGTAATTATGGAAGTAGGAATAATTAGATGAATAATTATCAGTAATAACAGAGCGAGAGGAGATGTGAAGGAACGAGGCTCAGAGGGAGAAGGAGAGATGGAGGGCAAAGTGAACCAAAAAAACATCTTCTTCTCAGCCCCCCCCCCCCCATCTGCCTTCATCCCCTCAGGAATCTGTCCGTTCCTCTCTCCTCTGCTCCTGCTTCACCCCCCCCCCCCCTCCTCCTCCTCCTCCTCCTCCTCCTCCTGCTCGGAGGAGGACGGCACTGCCACAGTCCCATCCCCCCCCATGTGTGCAGTTGTGAGAAACGCATGTGAGTGTAGTAAGACACGTTTAAGGAGGACAATGCCACTAGAGCTGTTCTGCATTGTGAGTATGGAGACGTGTGTGTGTGTGTGTGTGTGTGTGTGTGTGTGTGTGTGTGTGTGTGTGTTGGTCTATCCATCGCAAACCAGTAACCGGTGTGTCCATCGTCAATGGGAGTTCACGTTTGTTTCTGTGCTTAGAAATGGGATAATTAGTATTTAGAGTGTGTAGTTCTCTCTGTGCTTAGATTCCCTGCATTTTACTCTCAAACCTTCAGTGGAGCTTTGAACAAACGTGCACGTGAATGTGGTCAAAGTCTGAAGGTCGTAGTGCACGTTTTAGGTAACGTGCTCATGCCATCTGCAGGGCGTCTTCTTCAGCTTGTAACCGTTCCTGAGGTGGAAAATGCGGCGCGTTGTTACGTTAGCCAGAAACCCCCCTCTTCTCACCCCCCCCCCCCCCCCTCCCTCCTCTCACCCCCACCCCCCCACCCCCCGTCCTACATGCCCCACATGTAAACACACATTTCGATTCACACACATTTGCATTGAGGACGCACATCGTGGGGGCTGTTGGGCCCGGGCCACCGTTGCCACGGAGACGGCGTAAGGTGGATAGTGCGGCTGATGCATTGTGGGAAAAGGGTTAGGCAACACTCCAATTGTATTCAAGCGAATGAGGTCAGGTGTTGCAAGTTATTCCAGCTGATATTCAGTCAACAAGCTTTGTTCAAAAATGTGTTGACAAAATAATGCAGAACAATGATGTGGGAGACATTTATCTGATAGTAGTTTTAAAGTATTTTATTTTATGTATATTTTGTTCATTTGTAAGTTTGAAATATCTTTTATTTCTTTGGTGTATTTTGTTTTTTGGTTTCTTTATAAAATGCATAACACTGTGGGCACATGAGGATGTATTATATTCATACATTATCTATATATATTTATACATTGATGTTTGAGTAGGCAGGTACAGGACCAGCATGCACCTGGTTGGGCCTATTTTCTTTTTTTAAGTAAATCATCTATTTTTTTCCTGCGTAAACATCATTGAAGGATCGATGTGGCCCCTTGAATTTACGTTTTGTACCCAAGTAGAATGTCACAGTGATCATTTAGTCAAACACATTGAAGAACTGACTATTAAGCTAAGCTAGTTGGCTGGCTTGCTAATTCCACAATGCTTGTATTTTACGGTGGTTGTAAAGAATTAGCCCCACAACGGAACGACAAGCTAACTTGCTAACGAGCTAGCTAGCTAAGTAGCCACACATTCGTCTGTCAACGACCATCACCAGTTCAACGTCCGTCCTTCTCTGTTTCAATGCTAGCGCCGTTCGCTCAGCCATGTTGAGAGCCATAGAGAGTCAATTCAAAATGCACCAGATGTTGTTTCAATGTGTGACGTATCTTCCTCCCTCTTTGTTTCAGGACATAAACAAACGTCTGTCTCTCCCTGCTGATATCCGGCTACCGGAGGGCTACCTGGAGAAGTTTGCCATGAACAGCCCCCCCTTCGACAAGCCCATGAGCCGCCGGCTACGGCGCGCGTCGCTGGTCAGTGCTCAGCGCCGAGCGTTTGTCTGTCTGTGTGCAAAGCAGCTGACGGGATGTTCCAAACACGGCTCTTCTGCTTTTGTGTTTACACAACGAAACATGAACCTGCAACGGCTTTGTGCACAATGTTTGACTAAGGCCGTCCGGTCCTGTGACACGCTAACTGACACGCTAACTGACACGCTAACTAACACGCACACACAGGCTCGTTCTAAACTCGTCCGGCTCGGTAGGAGCATAAGTTATGAATTTATTCTGTATTATGTATCCAGGCCAAGAGCATTATGGGTATGATTCTGGGGGGAGGGGGGGGTGATTGGGGGGGGGGGGGGGGGGTGATGAGGGTAAATAGGCAGAAACACGTGCAGCTCTTTGTTCTGTTGCTGTAGTTCTCAATTTCTCACGTTTTTCTTTGGTCCAACTTTATTCCACATGACTTCTGTTTCCCTCTTGTTCTGTTGCACTTTGGAATAGTTGAAGAAGCCGTTTTCCTTCTGCTTCCCAGTCTGCCTGATGCCTTTAGCGGTTTCTACGGGAAAGGGGGAAGGAGCCGCCCTCCGACCTTTCTGTCTGTAGTTACTGAACAGGCCCTCTGGCTCTCTGCACGACGCAGCTTTTTCTGCAGCAGACGCCACCAGATGAAAGGAAAAGGACCTTTGAAGAGATGTTTGTGGTGTAGAGGTGGATGAGAAGAAGAGGATCAACTTCAGAGGGCTTAGAGGACGTCGCCCCACATGCTTGGGTCCGTCCACTGTGTGTGTGTGTGTGTGTGTGTGTGTGTGAGAGCATCTACAGGGTTTTGGGTGATGTAATGGATCGATCAATAATTCATCAGCTGAAGAGGTTTGTCCACCTTGAAGAGGCAGCAGGATGCAGCATGTTGTGAGTCCTGTGTGCTTCTCTGACAGTGGAACTGACTGACGGCTTGGAACCAGCTTCGCCTCGCCGGGGGCTTCCTCCGTCACCTGAAGGAGTGGCGGTGTGAAAGCGAGCCGGCGCGCTTCCTCTTACAGGCGCTCGCACTTGAAACCGACGGCCTCGATCTTTGGATCCTTCCCGTGTAACGCAAGTGAAGTTGGCTGGTGTCCGTTTCCTCTCCCAGCGGCTCCCAATCGACTGATATCAATAATCAATTATTCACAGAGGTCCGTTGTGCTGAGGAAAAGAGGAACACTTAGCTGTGCACGTTCAACCCCTCAGCGATATCAATGTAACTCTATAACTGTGAAACTGAATATCCAATTGGCCTTAATTGATGGCGGATCGAAGATCTACATGGTGTTAGTGAGAGGACTCTGTGGTGCTCCTCTTCTCACAGAACGCTGCTCTGTCTCTCCTGTCTCTCTCACTGTCTCTCACCGTCTCTCTCACCGTCTCTCAGTCTCTCTCACTGTCTCTGTCACTCACTGCCTCTGTCTGTCTCGCTCTGTCTCTCACCGTCTCTCTCACTATCTCTCCTGTCTCTCTCACCGTCTCTGTCTCTCTCTGTCTCTCACCGTCTCTCACTGTCTCTGTCACTCACCGTCTCTCTGTCTGTCTCGCTCTGTCTCTCACCGTCTCTCTGTCTGTCTCGCTCTGTCTCTCACCGTCTCTCTGTCTGTCTCTGTCTCTCATATCAAGGAGAAACCCTAGTTAATTGTGAAATGTGCTCTAGGTAATGGACTCTTCCGATGCACGTCAGAGCTGCACGCACACACACACACACACACACACAAAGACGCACACAGACACACACCCTGCTGTTGGTGTGTCTGTGTGCGTCTCCTCTATCAGTCGACATTCCCAACGCACATTTTGTTTGGGTTTAATTTAGTCTAAAAGAAGTTGGCCTGACCCAGTTCTGCTGAGTAAGCTTACTGGGGTGAAATGAACCCGTTGCCTTCCAGAGCACACAGGAGCGCACACACGCACACACACACACACACATTTGCCTGCTGTAAGTAGAGCGCTGCAGGTGAAGTGCTGAGCCCTCCTTTGTTTTAGAGGCACTTTAACAGGAGACAGACAACAGATGTATTTTCTGGGCTGGATGTGTGTGTGTGTGTGTGTGTGTGTGTGTGTTGTGTATTTGTGGAATGTTTGTGTCGTTGTGTGTGTGTCTTGCTCATGAGAAGGATTCCCCTGTCAAAAGAGCAGCACGGCTCAGCAGCAGCTCCTGACAGCCGCTGTCACCAACAGAGATGGAAACTGTGTGTGTGTGTGTGTGTGTGTGTGTGTGTGCGCGCATCTGCGTGTGTGTGTGTGTGTCTGCGTGCGTGTGTGTGTGTGTGTGTGTGTGTGTGTGTGTGTGTGTGTGTGTGTGTGTGTGAGTCTGTACACTTGAGCATAGGCAGCATGCCTCACCACAAAGACCCTCTTGCCTAGAGACTCGTATACATACATGTCACGGGCCCGGCGCATATTGTAAGGACACACACATTCACAACAAGCGACAATCTACTGCTCTGAAAAGAGCCACCAGGGGCGACTCCTCTCCTCCTCTCCTCAGTGTGTTAGCGTGTTAGCGTGTCTTCCTGTGTGTGCGAGCGCGTTGTGATGAAGGCTTCTGGGCATCTCTTTAAAGAGATCACACGCTTCATCAGCTAACTTGGTCACTGGAGACCCCCCCCCCAACCCCCCCCACCTCAGCCTGGCCTCCACATCAGCATCACGATGAGTAACGGCTGACGGAGGGTGAGGGGCGGAGCCAGGACACCAGCGCGCGGGCGTAGCCGCCTGATGACGCCTTCTCCACATGCATTATGCAGCCGGACCACAGACCTCTACACAGACCGTCTCCTGTGCTCCTGACTTCCTGTGGCCCGAGAGCACGCGGGCAGCAGACGTCACCTGAT